AGGGGCCCATCCCTCGACACATGGCCGCCTCCGGCGCATGGGAAAGTCAGCGACGCGAGCTGATTCTCCCCCCCCCCCCCCCTTGGCTATTCCCCCCTTTCGCCCGACCCCATTTTTCTGGCGTGCGCCCAGTCTAACAGATGCTTCAAACATGTTCTAAATATGTAAAAAAGCATGTTTGAAACAGTTTTATAACATCTTTTACACATGTTAAGTAATTCAATTATCGGATTGTTAGAGTGTCCATTGTCATGGCATCTACAAGCCCAGACATCGCCGGAGCTGCCCCCCCGTCCCCCCTTTCGGCAGCTCGCACTGATTTGCACAACCTGTGAGTCCTCCTCCTCCTCCTCCAGCTCCTCCTCATCCCTCTCCCCCTCTTCCTCAAGGGGACGCTGGGGTGCATGTGGGGCTGTCAGGATATGGGTGGAGGTGCTCTGGACCATTGCGTGGTGTGCCCGATGATCGTGCCCGCAGTGAGTGCCCTCCTCCCTCTCTTGAATCCTGGCTGGGGTTGCGGTCCACTTTTCGAGGAGCTCTTCACGGGAGCCGTCCTCCAGAAACGCTGTCTGTTCTTATGGTTTTGTTAGTTGATCGTATGACAAGGACGAGTCGTTCTTGTGATACGAGCGGGTGGTTCGTTTGATACGAGAGAGTTGTTCTTGCGACAGCTGTTCTGAGGACAGCGCGAGTTGTTCTTGTGATACGTTTGGGCCCCTCCTGTGTCAGAGAATTGGGCCCCCCATGTGACAGGGAATTGAGCATCTCCTATGACAGGGAAGTGGTTTGCGATTCGGGCAGCACGTCACCTTTCTTTGCTGGGGCGGAGCCTCGCGGTGGAGCCTTGGCGAGAGCGACGGTGCTGTGGAGGCCATGAGCGCAGTAGGTGTATAGACGCAGTTCCACAACACATCCATACATCCGAACAACCTTCCTTGATGGCGGGATGTGATTCGCGGAGCCGCGGTGAGATGAATGGGAGGAGTTGGACTCAGCAGAAGTTCCCAACCATCCTGTGGTGCTGGGTCCTCGTTCCGAAAAGACAGGTCCCATATGCGGATGCGGAGGGAGGCCATGCGATACCTCCTGTTGGAGCTGGTGGTGGAGCTCCTTATGGGGCGCGATCCGTGTGAGGGGTTTGCCGAAATGGGCGTGAAGACGCCATGCGAACCTTCTCTCTCTGGGGACGTAGGTGGAGTTCCCTTTGGGCCACGATCCCTGCCAGGGCGGTGGAGAACAGCTGCTCATATGTTCTCGGAGACCTCTCCGGGAACATTCGGGAGAAGGATAAGGAGGAAGAGTTTGAGGAGGAGGAGGAGGAGGAGAAGGAGGAGGAGGCAGAGGAGTAGCTTCAAACGGAGGACAGGAGGTGGGTGAGCAGCAGGGGATGGGACAAAAAGAAAAGGCGGCGAAGGATGACGAAACACAGGAGGAAGATGACGAGGAGGAGGACGAAGAGGAGTGAACATGGAGTAACGAGGAGGAGGAGGGAATGAGGAGGGAATGAGGAGGGAGAGCAGGAGCAGGAGCAGGAGCACGGGGAGGAGGAGGAGGAGGACGAGGAGGAGGAGGAGGAGGAGGAGGAGGAGGAAGAGGGCGAGGGAGGGGGAGGGGGAGGGGTCCGAGGCGGACGGCTACTCTGCAACGACCACATGCAGCGGACTGCGCAGTGCCGCCGATCAGACGAGCGAAAGCGAGAGCCGTAACGCGTAGCGCAGCTGCGGCTAGAATTAAATCGGGCCTGTCCCTCTACAGGGGGAATATTCAAAAATAGTCACAAAATAGTCAGGGGACGATTTTTGGATTATGCTGGAGCGTTTTTGGAGTTTTTTTCATTGCGACGGCTCCCCGGGGTCATCATTTTATCCAGCCGATCAGCTGATCGGCTGATCGGCTGGCTGGCGCCTGACCAATTGATCGGCTGATCGGCTGATCGGCTGGCTGGCGCCTGATCGGCTGCTCGGCTGATCGGCTGGCTGGCGCCTGATCGGCTGCTCGGCCGATCGGCTGATCGGCTGGCTGGCGCCTGATCGGCTGATCGGCTGATCCCCTGGGGGCATCCGTGGTCCTCGTCTCCTGGGGGCTCGGGGGGCAGGCTCGGGCGCCATGCTGCGACGGGGGGGCCGAATCGTACAACCCCCGGCAAAATTAACTTCCTAAACGATCAAACGTATATTGACCGTAACCCAAAACGCCGGGCGCGTAAGCTCACCCGCCTGCATCCTCGCCCCCGAAGGCGTGCTCACTATCGTGTTGATCCCCCGGGTTGCGTTTATCACCCCCCGTTCGCCTACGCTGCGTTCGCCATTCAAGGGGGTAGGCGGATTGAGAACCTCAGAGCTCCCGGAGCATTTTTCACGGCATTGCCAATCGAGAAGACTACCAGGCGCGCGGGGGGAGGAGGGCGGGGAAGGAGGAGGGCGGGGGAGGAGGAGGAGGAGGAGGAGGAGGAGGAGGAGGAGGAGGAGGAGGAGGAGGAGGAGGAGGCGGAGGAGGAGGAGGTGGAGGAGGAGGAGGAGGAGGAGGAGGTGGAGGAGGAGGAGGAGGAGGGGGAGGAGAGGGAACCCAGGATACATCAACGATGCTGCTATACACCCTCCCGTCCCACGCCTCTTCTGCATAGGGCCAGAACGCTCGATTTCGGTATTCCGTTATTCCGTAGTTATTCAGGCGTCCGTCGAGGGTGCATTTATGAAGTGTCGGCGCCAGAGCTGGAGCCGGAGCCAGAACCATCTTGGGCTATCATCGTCCGCCGTTCTTGCCGAGGGAGGGCTGCATAGCGGCAGCAGACGCTGAAGCCGGAGCCATCTCGGGCCATCTTTTCCCGCTCTCCCTGACGAGAGGGACAGGGAAGCGGACGTTGAAGCCATCTTGGGTCATCCTCCCTCCTCCCTCCTCCCTCCTCCCTCCCTCCTCCCTCGCTTGCCTCCTTCCGTCCTCCGTCCTTCGTTGTTCTTCTCATTAGTTTGTTTCGTCTTCTTGTTCTTCTTCTGCATCATCTTGTTCTTACCTCCTCCTTCTGCACTCAGCTCCCCCCTGTGCCTTCCCTCGTTCATAGTTTGCCTCTTGTCCATCCACTCTGTTCCACCCCTCCTTCCCCACGTCTGTTCCCCCTCCTTCCTTCGTCGTTCGTCTATCCCCGTCTCCCTCCTTCACCCTTCGTCATTCCCGCCCTCTCTCTCCTTCCTTCTCTTCCTCCCTCATCGCTCGTACCTCGACCCTCCCACTACCCACGTCCTACTCCCTCCTCCCTCTTCGTTCGTCCATCCCCGTCTCCCTCCTTCATCCTTCGTCATTCCCACCCTCTCTCTTCTTCCTTCCCTTCCTCCCTCATCGCTCGTACCTCTACCCTCCCACTACCTTCAAGAGACCCTCGAAGAACTCGCGGTCCCCCAGTGCTGAAGAACAACGGGTTGACGCAAGGCCATCTGTTTGTTTATCAGCATTGGGGGGCCGATGAGTCCGTCGAGGGTGCATTTGTGAAGCAGCGGCTCAATCTTTACTATACCACTGTGTTCGGTATTTGGGGTCAGCATGGGAGGGCACCCTGTTAGACACGTCGCAGGTCACCTGGCGGCCACCCTGAGCCTGAGCGCCGATTTGTTCCAGGGCTGGAGCGGTCTCCGTGGTGGGCGGCCCCAGGCCATGGGGCGCGCTGTTCGAGGGAGCCTCGCCCGCCGCAGTCCTGACGCCTCCTGTGCTGCGACCTGCGGGGCAGGTCGCGTCGGGCTGCGGCGACCTGCGGGGCCGTCTGGGGGCGATCTTGGGGGCCTCTAGGGCCGTCTTGGAGCGTCGGGGACCGCGCGGGCGAGAGGTCCCCATACTTCCCCACCGAGAAAAGTAATACTAATAATAATACTAATAATATTACTATTAATGCTATCAATACGGATAGAGAGAGAGAGAGAGAGAGAGAAACGATGGAACATCAATGTTTGTTGTTTGTATTCGTAAGGGCTTCGCCCCTTGCCGCCGGCCCGCTCTCTCGGATTATGGGCTATGCAAGAGCTAAATCATGAGGCCTCGGCGCCGCCGTGAAGCAGCACCCGGCAAGGAATATTGATATTCTGATGATATTGTTGAACTCAGTTTTGCATTTTGAACCTGCCCCTGCATGCTGTGCGCTGAGGTTTTTCACAGAATTTCGGACATGTGGCAAATCCCATTGGTTTTTCGACCCTAACCTCGCCGATCTGCGTGAGGGGTGCCGCCTAATTTTAGACATGTGGCAAATCCCATTGTATTTTCGACCCTGGCTCCGCCGATCTGCGTGAGGGGTGCCGCCGAATTTCAGAAATGTTTCAAATCCTATAGGTTTTTCGATCCTGACTCCGCCGATCTGCGTGAGGGGTGCCGCCGAATTCCAGACATGTGGCAAATCCCATTGGTTTTTCAACCCTGACCCCGCCGATCTGCGTGAGGGGTGCCACCGAATTTCAGAAATGTAGCAAATCCGATGTTTTTTTGGACTCTGACCTCGCCGATCTGCGTGAGGGGTGCAGCCTAATTTTAGATTTTAGACATGTGGCAAATCCCATTGGTTTTTCAACCCTGCCCCCGCCGATCTGCGTAGGGTGCCACCGAATTTCAGAAATGTAGCAAATCCCATTGTTTTTTCGACCCTGACTCCGCGATCCCTCGTAAATTACACTACACCCGCGCTCCCAGGGCCACGATCCCTTGTAAATTACGCTACGTCAGCGCTCCCAGGGCCACGATCCCTCGTAAGGGCTCCTGGGCCCTCCTGGGTCTTCCTTGGACCTCTTGGGCCCTCCTGGGCTCTCCTGGAGCCTCCTGGAGCTTCTCCTGGGCCCTCCTTGGGCCCCCTGGTGCCTCTTGGAGCCTCCTGGGTCCTCCTGGGCCCTCCTGGGCTCTCCTGGGCCCTCCTGGGCTCTCCTGGGCTCTCCTGGAGCCTCCTGGGCCCTCCTGGGCGAAGTCAAGGTCCGAAAACACATGGGACTTGCCACATTTCTGAAATTCGGTGCCACCCCTCACGCAGGTCGGCGGGGTCAGGATCCGAAAACACAGGGGATTTGCAACATTTCTGGAATTCCGTGCCACCCCTCACGCAGATCGGCGGGGTCAGGGTAAAAAAACACAGGGGATTTGCCACATTTCTGGAATTCCGCGCCACCCCTCACGCAGATCGGCGGGGTCAGGGTCCAAAAACACAGGGGATTTGTGTTATTTCCGAACTTACGCAACTTCAAGAATCCAAAACTCCGTTCCCAGCGCCGTTCCGGAGGCCGCGGTACCTCGTTATTTATCGAGCGAACGCGTTTACCTTGTTTGTTTTATCGTTTAAAGTCGATGTCGGAAAAAAGTGGACTTCACCTGTGAGGTATCGAGGTTACCTTAAAGGCAGTAAAATTCCAAGAGCACGATCTGCGTGAGGGGTGGCGAAAAATGGCCTTCGTCCTCACAATTGAAATCCGCCGGCCCCCTTCGACTTCGTAATTTATCGCGCAAGAATTCCGCTGGCCCCCTTCAAGTAAAAACCGGGGGTAAACCAACTAAAAGAGAACCCTGGGCCCATGCCCTTTCCGGGAAAAACATCGGATTTGCGACATTTCTCAAATTCGGTGGCACCCCTCACGCAGATCCCCTGGGAGCGCGGACGCAGTGTAATTTGCAAGGGATCGCGGCCCTGGGAGCGCGGGCGCAGCGTAATTTACGAGGGATCGTGGCCCTGGGAGCGCGGGCGCAGGTAATTTACGAGGGATCGTGGCCCTGCCAGCGCGGGCGCAGCGTAATTTAGAAGGGATCGCGGCCCTGCGAGCGCTGACGTAGTGAGGAAGCGGCGGAGGCGGAGAAGGAGGAGGCGCCCGAGGCGTTCCTGATCCGCGCCGACGCCTTGAGCTCCCTCGTCTCGTGGGCATGTCCCCTGACTTGCGCTTCCCCTGGCACGTTTGCGACTCGACCCCTGGCACGTGCCGTGGCGGATCATTTGGGATCGTGGCCCTCGGAGCGTGGACCCAGCGGAGACGTCTAACAGAGCAAGGCAATGTGTCCCCAGGTGCGTTTCGACTGCAGCCAGCTTGAGCTATGCGTTCAGGCAGCTCGAGCTTAATATTCACATCAGTTCGGCCAGGATTCTGACGCTGAGGGCGACCTGACCCGTTGCGCAGTACAGCACAGCACAGTTCAACGCAGCATGGCGCATTTCAGCTCGTCACAGCATAGCACAGCCCCTGGCACGGCACATCAGCACCGTTACTTTGAGCATAGCAGTTGCTTGTCGCCCAAGCTTGTCGTCACGAATACGTCCCCATGCTTACATTTCTATATCCCTTTCCGGGTTCGTGGGTCGATCATGTTTTGGACTCTGACCCCGCCGATCTGCGTGAGGGGTGTCAACTCCGACCGCCCCAGAAATTCTGAGACCCCTCCCGGGAGGTGCTAACCAGGGCGGTTTTCGGCCCCCCCCTTCAAGGAACAGTCAGCAGCAAGAAACATCATTGTAGCAGTGGAAACTGGAAGCTGGAACTGGTGCAGGGAACAGCAAACCCTCGTCCTACAGCCTGGTGGCCCCACAAGGGGGCCGGCGGATTAGAGCCCTCTTGGGACGCCTGTTGGAAGTTTTTCGAGGCGTCCTGAGGGCCTCTTGAGCTGTCTTGGAGCGATATTTGGGAGTCTCGGGGCCATCTTGGACCGTCTCGGGGGCCTCTTGGGGTCCCCATGGCCCGTCTTGGCGCCCCGTGGGGCCCGCCAAATCCATGCGACAAAACGCGACGCTGCGCAGGAGGACAGCGACACAGCCATGAAACATCTTTTCTAAGGGATCGGGGCCCTTTCAGGCCTCAGGATCGAGGACTGGGGCTCCGGGGAAAGCCAAGGGAGCTGAGGACACGCCCACTCCGTGCAGGAGCACGGTGGCGGATCGCCACTACGGCACGGGCTGCTTGCCCGCGTGGGCAGAGCGGGATTCGCTCCTGGCCCAGCGTCTGGGAACTGTCATGATGCTTGGGGCTGAGCTTGACGACGCGACGTATGGCGTCTCCCTTGACCATCTTAGGCATCTGTTTGCCCCGTTCCTGTGAACAGCCGTCCCCCATCATCCCCCATCCACGTCAATTCGTTGATGGAGTCGTGTTTCCCTCTCCTGCTACTGCCTCCCCTTGTCGTCGTCGTCGTCGTCGTCGTCGTCGTCGTCGTCGTCGTCGTCGCCGTCATTGCGATCGCACGCGTTCTTTTGGAATTGGCGTGCCAGCTGGTGGGCACTCTCGGACGACGCGCAGGAAACACTTGAAAATGCATGGTTTTCACTGTGCATCATCACCCAAACCTTCAAACACCAACTCCTAACGCTTCGCGTATCCCCACCAGCCCATCCAGAACCGATGCCCAGGCGAGCTGCTGTGTTGTTGTGACAGGTTCTCGGATGTCTTTTGGAGCCATGTTTGGGGGGTCCTCTCGGGGTCCTCTTGGGGCCCTCTTGAGGCTCTTTTGATGCCGTCTTGGGGTTCTTCTGGGGGGTCTGGGACGTCTTGGAGTTGTCTTGGCCCCGTGGTTCAAACAGATTCGGGTAGTATAGCAAATACATCCCCCCGTTTGAGGTTCAACATTTGCGTATTGGGGCGCTCTTGGGGCACTCCTGGGCGCTTCTTGGGCGTTCTTGGGGCCGTCTTGAAGCCTTGTAGGGCCCCTCATGGAGCTTTCTTGGACTATCTTGGGGCCGCCTTGCGGCCTCAAAAAAACAATCGGAATCGAAGAGGCGAGAAGGTAAACAACATAGATTGTCTTCAGGCTTTTGAAGGATGTTGGCATCTTGGGGGGGTCCTGAGGCCTGAGGGGGTTCCGAGAGAACATGGTGCCGTCTTCGAACGGCTTTGGGGCCTCTTGCAAGTCCGTCGGGCCGCGGGGGGTGAGGAGGCCCTGCCGCTGCTCTGGCAAGATAGCGTAATTTCTGCCGCAGCCTGGCGCGCAACCGTGAAGCGGTATTGCGACGCATTGTAAGGCCACGGCATTTGTGCTCATGTGCTTTGCACTCAGCTTTGTCTCTCTCTCTCTCTCTGCAAGTCCGTCGGAGGCTGTCTTGACCCACTTCGGAGTTTCTTGAGCCATATTGGAGGCCATCTCGGGCTAACCAGGGCTCTCTTGGAGCCATCTTGGACGGAAGAGGACCCTCTGACACCTCGCAGCCCCCCCCCTCCCAGGCCCTGGGGAGAGGTTTTACCCCTTCCCCAGAGCAAGGGTAGGAGGGATTGTGGAAAGAAGACAAGAGTTCGTTAACCACCTACGCCCGGAGGGCTGGTGGGATTGTTGATTCAACATTTTCGTGCGTGGGTGCTCTTGTCGAGACTTGTTCGGCGCTCTGGCCCGCGCCTGATATGAATGCAAGACGTCCCAAGCATTGAGGTCTCAGGGCAGACGGGGGGTGATGCTTGGAAACATATCGTGCAGTATGGAGCCGTTTGTGCAGGGGGCCCCCAGAAACAGTGGAAGGAGGAGGATGAGGGAGGAGGAAGCGAAGGACGACGACGACGCGAGAACGAGGACGACTTGGCGGCGGGGCATGGGGCGAGAACTAGGAGAGAAAGGACAAGGGCGAGAAGGAGGAGGAGGAGGAGGAGGAGGAGAAGGAGGCGGAGGAGGAGGAGGGGGAGGAGGATGAGTAGGAGGAGGAGGGAGGAGGCGGAGGAGAGGAGGAGAACTAGGAGAGAAGGAAAAGGGCGAGAGAGGAGGAGGAGGAGGCGAGGCGGAGGAGAGGACGAGGAGGAGGAGGAGGAGGAGAACTAGGAGAGAAAGGAAAGGGCGAGAAGGAGGAGGAGGAGGAGGAGGAGGAGGAGGAGGAGGAGGAGGAGGAGGAGGAGGAGGAGGGGAAGGAGGAGGAAGGAGGAGGGGGAAGAGAGGAAGTTAGAAGTGCATTAAGGTGGTCGAGCAGCCGAGGAGCCGATTAGCCGATACGCCGATCAGCCGATAAGCTGCCGATCAGCCGATCAGCCGATCAGCCGATCAGCCGAATAGCCGATCGGCTGGGCTCGAATACAACCCTGGGTTGCCGTCGTCCTGGTATGTTCTGGGTATTTTTTGTTTTTCGTCCAACATTCGCTTATAGGTAGGAGGACATGCCCGACCTAAGACTAGAACCTAAGCGCGCGCGGAAGCGCACGCGTGTTTCTAGTATTCCCTTTTCTATATTTTTACACTCTGGGGGGTGGGGACCCCCCACCGGGAAACCAGACTCCCTGGACTCCCCGATTCGGAAATCCTGGACTCCATGGATTCCCTCATCTGTTTCGTGTCTGCGGCCCCTGGGCGCCGTTCCCAAAGGTCCCACGAGACTTCCAGGCCTCTGGACGCCCCTGACGTCCATGCGAAGCCGTGGCAGCGGGCCAGCGGGAGGCTCCCAAAACGTCCCAAGAGGCCTCCACGAGCACTCCTAAGAGAGGCAACAACCATTGATTTGTTGTAGGTTTTTGGTGAATTTTGGGGTTCTCCTCTTTTCGGCTTCCCGACGCTCCAAGGTCTCCTGAGCGTCCGAAGCCGCCTGGGGGCTCCCAAATCGCCCCGCAACCATCAGAAAGGGCTTCCAGGCAGTCCAATACAGCCCCAGAGCTGCGCAACAGGGGTCCAAGATGGCCCTAAGAGAGCCCCATGGCGGCCCAGGATGGTCCCACGACACCCTCCGAACCCTCCGAAGCATTCCAAATCGTGACCTGGTCGTTCAGGGACACTGCGGTTGGAGGCAGGGTGGCCCGAGGAGGCCCCCAGAGGCCCTTTAGAACACGCCCAGGAGGCCTCCAGAAGGCCTTGATATTTGAGAGAGCCTGAAGCACTTTTGTGAGGCCACCCGACACGCTCCCCGGAGGAGCCTCCGCAGAAAAGCTGGGGAGGATGGGGAGAATGTAGGGGGCCACATGCGAACCCTGCCCCTACCCCCCACGATTTCTGAGCGGGAGGGTGGGGTTCACTTCGCCTCAGAAATCGTGGGGGGTAGGGGTAGGGTTCACATGTGGCCCCCTAGAATGCGCAGGGTATGGCGAGAAGGAGAAAACATAAGCATGGAGGAGGGATAACGAACAACATTCTTATGACGGCGGTGCGGGAAAAGGCACCGATGAGTGGTCGCTAAAGTTTCGGCTTGGCCTTCCTGCCATTCCGCCTGCGTGCCAAACTTCAAGGACCAAGGTGCATGGCGCGAAGCGCCACTGCAGTCTTGTATCCTCTATATATATAATATAGTGTATCCTCCGTCGTCTCCTTATGTTGGGCAGTTTCCGTTGTTCCAAGTTCTCAAGGTAAATCGATATTGGTGGCTTGCATTTTTAATTTTATCGGGGGTGGGGGGGGTGGGGGTCAGTTTATTTGTTTTGTGTTGTTGGGACATAGTTTTTTAGTTTTCAGTTTGTCTGTCTGTCTGTGTGCTACTTGCCTATTGTGAAACTTAGTCTACCACGGCATTGCGGTGCAAATGTTATTGCGCACGAGAGGGCGAGCCCAATCGAAAGAGCAGCCCATTGCCCAATCGCAAGAACAGCCCACGGCCCAATCGCAAGGACAGCCCACGGCCCACTCGCAAGTACAGCGCAGACGTTTCAAGTGCGGCGCGGATTCTTTAGTGCACAGATGGCGCACGCGGGTCGGTAGAACAGCGCAGCGTTGTCCTCCAGGGGTAGTGTGGGACCTCGGACTCTTCCCGCTCCTCGCTGCCCCTGCTGCTGGCCCGCCCCCTTCCCTGCTGGGACAGGCGCTCCTCCTCGCCCTCAAAATATCGTCATTAGCTTCGGTGGCGCCTAGGCTGGGTGCAGTAGCATCGCCCCTCACGAACTGTTAGGCCCTCTGGGTAGTTGCCTCATCCGCCTGTCTCCCCTTTCGTCGTTGTCAGCGCTTTTCTCTCGTTCCCCTTCTCCTATCTCACCCGCGCTGTGGTTCGGATTATGTTTTCATTCCGCGCCAATAATTTGCCCAGTGCTTAGGAAGAAGAGTGCGCGGTGGGAAACAAAAAAGACGCTGTGGTTCGCGTCCTTCCCCTTGTTGCCGTTCTCGCCCTGCTGCTTGGGAAAAGGAGGCGCACCACCTTGCCGGGGGGGGGGGTGCTGGATGCTCTCGCGGTCGCCGTCACTGTCGACTCCGCGCGCGCGGCGCGCTCGGACCTGCGAGACTGCGCTCCCTTCGGAGCCTAGACCTTTCAATGATCGAAGGTCGAGGCTTCCGGACGTCTTCCTTGGCCCTCTGGGCTTCGGGGTTTCTCGGCGGCCTTCTCGAGCCCCTGGGCTATTCTGGAGACGTCCACAGACCTCCGGGGTCCTCTCGAGACTTCCGGCTGGGACAGCAGTTCTCTGGGCAAGTTCGGGCCCACAGGGAGTTTTTGTTTTGTCGGAGCAGCCCGCGGCGTGTGTTGTATGCTGAGGCTGGGGTGTCGAACGCCCTGGATCCCCACGAGTTGATTGAACCAGGGTGTTGGAGGTCTGGGGTCTAAGTCGGGCCTGTCCTTCTTTCTACAGGGGGAACGTCCAAAAAATAGTATAAAAAATAGTCAGCGAGCGATTTTTGGAATATTTGTGGATCATTTTTGAACATCTTTTGGCCATTTTTTGTTTTTCGTCCAAAATCCGCCTGTAGGGGGACATGCCCGACCTAAGTCTGGGAGGAGGGGGAGGGTCCAGGAGTGCACTGATAGCGCTCCGCGCGGATTTCTTGAATCCGCGCGGGGGCGCCCCCCTGGCGGTGCCTCCGGCGCCGCCCCTGGCGCGCTCCGCGCGCAGGGAGGGGGTCCAGCGCAGATTCAAGAAATCATGGCGGAACGCCAAAAGTTTATGGATATGCCGTTTTTTCTTCTCCTAGCGATGAGGGATGGTGTATTGAGTGGAGGAGCGAAGGGATTGGCAGATGAAAGGATTTAGGGATGATTGAGGGAACAAGTAGACTTATGTGATCCGTTCCTCCAATTCAGTAGCTACACCGCGCATTGCTTCGCTGGAGTGCCTGAGAGGCGTTAGCGAGCGCATGCCAGCGCGCATGCAGAACTGTCGCGAGCGAGACATGCTAATCGTTGACGAAAAACAATTCTTGTGATCACGGTCCGAGCATGAAGCCAATGTAGCGATGATGGTTGTGTTGCATGCGTGCGTAGGAGGAGAAGGATGAGGAGGAGTGTGTCGGCATCAGGAACAGTAAGGAAGAACGCGAGGGAGGAATGGAGGGAGGGATGGGGAGGAGGGAGGAGGGATGGATGATGGAGGATGGATTGATGGATGGATGGATGGATGGATGGATGGATGGATGGATGGATGGATGGATGGATGATGATGATGATGATGATGATGATGATGATGATGATGATGATGATGATGATGATGGATGATGGTGATGGTGATGGTGATGGTGATGGTGATGGTGATGGCGATGGTGATGGTGATGGTGATGATGATGATGGTGGTAGTGATGGTGATGGTGATGATGATGTTGATGGTGATGGTGGTGATGCTGATTAATGATGATGATGGTGATAGTGATGGTGATGATGATGGTGGTAGTGATGATGATGGTGGTGGTGATGATGACGATGATGATGATGCTGATGATGCTGATGCTGATGCTGATGCTGATGATGCTGATGATGATGATGATGATGATGATGATGATGATGATGATGATGATGATGATGATGATGATGTGGTGGTGGTGGTGGTGGTGGTGGTGATGATGATGATGATGATGATGATGATGATGAGGAGGAGGAGGAGGAGGAGGAGGAGGAGGTGGAGGAGGAGGAGGAGGAGAAGCAGGAGGAGGATAATTCGCAGGAGGTGGAGGGCCCAGGGTGAGAGGACGTAGCCGAAGAAGGAGGAGGAGGGGAGGACGAGGGAGAGCCGCGAGGCGCCGCAGGAGGCAGCCCCCCCCCCTCCCTCCCCCGCCCGCAGGCACAGCGGCGCCTGCGCGCCGTGCGCAAGAAGCTCCGGGAGCTGGAGCAGCTGGAGGCCGGCAGGGCCAGGGCCGTGCGCCGCTCTCTCTCTCTCTCTCTGGCAGCCTCGCGGCCTCGCTGCCTCGGTCTGCCTCTGTGTGTCGCTGCCTGCCACGGGCTCTGCCCGCCCTGCTGTCTCTCCGTCTCTGTCTCTCTCTCTATTTCTCTCTCTGTCTGTCTCTCTTTCGCCCTCGCTCTCTTTTTTCCCAACCCTCCTGCGTTGGGTACTCGTTTTGAATAGAGCACTGCGGTCGCGTCTTCTCTCCTCCTTCCCGTCCCCCTCCTCTCCTCTCTTCTCTCGATCTGTGAAACTGTCGCCACTTTCGAGGGCTGCTGGGGGGCCCAGCACAGTGACGTCTTACGGGGACTCAGATTAGACCTCGCCATCGCTGGGGGGCTGCGATCCGTGAAACTGTCGCCACTTTCGAGGGCTGCTGGGGGGGGGCAGCGGAGTGACGTCTTACGGGGACTCAGATTAGACATCGCCATCCCTGGGGGGCTGCGATCCGTGAAACTGTCGCCACTTTCGAGGGCTGCTGGGGGGGCCAGCACAGTCTGCACCCGCGGCGGATTCAAATGGGACCTCGCCATCCCTGGGGGGCTGCGATCTGCGAAACTGTCGCCACTTTCGAGGCCTGCTGGCGGGGCCCAGCACAGTCTGCACCCGCGGCGGATTCAAATTAGACCTCGCCATCCCTGGGGGGCTGCGATCTGTGAAACTGTCGCCACTTTCGAGGCCTGCCCAGCACAGTCTGCACCCGCGGCGGACTCAAATGGGACCTCGCCATCCCTGGGGGGCTGCGATCTGCGAAACTGTTGCCACTGTCGAGGGCTGCTGGGGGGCCCAGCGCAGTCTGCACCCGCGGCGGACCCAAATTAGACCTCGCCATCCCTGGGGGGCTGCGATCTGTGAAACTGTCGCCACTTTCGAGGCCTGCTGGGGGGCCCAGCACAGTGTGCACCCGCGGCGGACTCAAATGGGACCTCGCCATCCCTGGGGGGGCTGCGATCTGTGAAACTGTCGCCACTTTCGAGGCCTGCTGGGGGGCCCAGAACAGCTGCCCCGCGGCCCGGGACTCAATGGGACCGCCAGCCCTGGGGGGCTGAGATTCTGCGAAACTGTCCCGCCACTTTCGAGGCTGCTGGGGGGCCCAGCCAGTCTGCACCCGCGGCGACTCAAATGGTACCTCGCCCATCCTGGGGGGCTTGCGATCCTGCGAAACTGTCGCCACTTTCCGATGGCTACTAGGGGGGGCCCCTCACAGTTCTGCACCGTTCGGTGGGCGGATTTCAAATGTGACCTCGCATACCCTGGGGGGCTGCGTCTGCGAAACTGTCGCCACTTTCGAGGGCTGCCTGGGGGGCCCAGCACAGTGGGTACCCACGGCGGACTCAAATAGGAACTCGCCACTCCACAACACAGTGCTGGCAACCCACGGCGGACTCAAATGGGACCTCGCCATCCCCTGGGGGGCTGCGATCTGTGAAACTGTCGCCACTTTCGAGGCCTGCTGGGGAGTCCAGCACAGTGGATACCCACGGCGGACTCAAATGGGACCTCGCCATCCCTGGGGGGCTGCGATCTGTAAAACTGTCGCCACTTTCGAGGCCTGCTGGGGGGCCCAGCACAGTGACGCCACGCGCGGACCCAAATTAGACCTCGCCATCCCTGGGGGGCTGCGATCTGTGAAACTGTCGCCACTTTCGAGGCCTGCTGGGGGGCCCTGCGCAGTTACGCCACGGGCATATTCAAACGAGACCTCGCCATCCCTTGGGGGCTGCGATCTGTGAAACTGTCGCCACTTTCGAGGCCTGCTGGGGGGCCCAGCACAGTGACGCCACACGCAGATTCAAATTAGACCTCGCCATCCCTGGGGGGCTGCGATATGTGAAACTGTCGCCACTTTCGAGGCCTGCTTGCGGGGCCCAGCACAGTGACGCCACACGCAGATTCAAATTAGACCTCGCCATCCCTGGGGGGCTGCGATCTGTGAAACTGTCGCCACTTTCGAGGCCTGCTGGGGGGCTCAGCACAGTGGGTACCCACCGCAGACTCAAATTAGACCTCGCCATCCCTGGGGGGCTGCGATCTGTGAAACTGTCGCCACTTTCGAGGCCTGCTGGGGGGGGCCAGCACAGTGGGTACGTACTCACGGCAGACTCAAATGGGACCTCGCCATCCCCGGGGGGCTGCGATCTGTGAAACTGTCGCCACTTTCGAGGCCTGCTGGGGGGCCCAGCACAGTGGGTACCCACGGCGGACTCAAATGGGACCTCGCCATCCGTAGGGTGCTGCGATCTGCGAAACTGTCACCACTTTCGAGGCCTGCTGGGGGGCCCAGCACAGTGGGTACCCACGGCGGATTCAAGTTAGACCTCGCCATCCCTGGGGGGCTGCGATCTGCGAAACTGTCACCACTTTCGCGGCCTGCTGGGGGGCCCAGCACAGTGATGCCACACGCAGATTCAAATTAAACCTCGCCGTCCATGGGGGGTTGCGATCTGCGAAACTGTCGCCACTTTCGAGGCCTGCTGGCGGGGCCCAGCACAGTGACGCCTCCCAAGTAGCTTACACATCAAGTTGATTGTCCATACAAGTTTCGGCCAACTCCTCGTTTCCATTGATACAAATGGGCCGGGTACGTCACATGGTAATTTTCCCAACCCTCCTTGGTTGGGTATTCGTTTTGAATAAGAGACTGTGGTCTCCACCGTCCTTCCTCCCGCCTCCCTCCCTCCTGCGTCGTGCTCCCTGCTTTATTCCCAACCCTCCTTGGTTGGGTAATCGGTTTGAATAGAGCACTGCTCGCGCGTCTCCTCCCGCCTCCCTCCTGCCTCCTGCCTGCCTCCTCCTGTCTTGCCTGCGGGGAGCTGCGATCTGTGAAACTGTCGCTACTTTCGAGGCCTGCTGGGGGGCCCAGCACAGTGACGCCACGCGCGGACCCAAATTAGACCTCGCCATCCCTGGGGGGCTGCGATCTGTGAAACTGTCGCCACTTTCGAGGCCTGCTGGGGGGCCCAGCACAGTGACGCCACGGGCGGACCCAAATTAGACCTCGCCATCCCTGGGGGGCTGCGATCTGTGAAATTGT